TTTCTTCAAAACCTTGAGGCTGGAGCATATAAATTTCTTCTTCAAGATTTCCATGAAGAAAAGCTGTTTTAACATCTAGCTGCTCTAGATGTAAGTCCAATGTAGCACACATTTCCAAAACTACTCGAACTGTTGTTAGTCGAACCACAGGAGAAAATATTTCATTGAAATCAATACCTTCTTTTTGAGCATATCCTTTGACCACCAGTCTTGCACGATACCTCTCAACTTGATCGTCACCATTTCGCTTGATTTTGAAAACCCATTTGTTACCAATTGGCTTCCTTCCTTGTGGTAGTGGCACAAGGTCCCATGTATTATTTTTATGAAGGGCTTCAATTTCTTCTTGCATCGCCATCATCCACAGTGAATCATCTGAGTTGTTTATTGCCTCTTGGTATGTTGATGGCTCACCGTCCTCTGTTAAAAGGCAATATGCAATATTACCTTCTATAATATAATCTGAGTGCCAATTGGGACGTCTTATCACACGATCTGATTGACGAGTTGTTGGAGCTTCAGAACTCTCTGGTTCTTGTTCATCATGTGTTGGTTCTGCTTCAGAAGAATCTCCTTGCTCAAACTCTTTTTCCACATGTATCTGAGTAGTCTCTGACTTTTCAACGCTTTCATCGTCTTCTTTTCTTTGTAGTTTATCTTCTACAAAGATAACATCTCTACTGATGATCACTTTGCGGGTAGTGAGATCCCACAAGCGATACACCTTTACTCCATCAGCATACCCCAAGAATTTGCATTTCCTGGATTTTGGATCCAACTTTGAAATTTCTTGGGAGTTATATATCAAGTACACTATACTTCCAAATACATAGAGGTTTGAATAATCAGTTGGTTTTCCAGTCCACATCTCCATTGGTGTCTTCAACTCTATTGCAGTTGATGGAGCTCGATTCACCAAATAACAGGCGGTATTGACTGCTTCTGCCCAGAATGATTTTTCTAGGCCTGCATCCCTCAACATTGCTCTTGTTCTTTCTAACAAGGTTCTGTTCATCCGCTCTGCCACTCCATTTTGTTGAGGAGTGTTCGCCACTGTGAACTGTCTTTTGATGCATTCTTTCCTGCAAAAGTCATCAAATTCTTCGCTTGTGTATTCTCCTCCATTATCTGTTCTGAAACACTTGATCTTATTTCCAGAATCAAGTTCCACCCGCGCTTTGAAGTTTTTGAAAGTTGAAAACACGTCCGACTTCTTCTTAATAGGGTGCACCCAACATCTCCTGGAGTAGTCATCAATAAATGAGACAAAGTATTTTGCTCCACCTAGGGATGTTAATGGTGCTTGCCATATGTCAGAGTGAACCAATTCTAGAATACTTTTGCCTCTAGAATTTGATGTGTTGAATTTCAACCGGTGCTGCTTACTTGTTATGCAATGCTCACACAAAAGTAAGTGATACCTTTGTTAAGCCTGGAAGTAGTTTTTGCTCCACAAGGACTTTCATTCCTTGTTCTGACATGTGTCCAAGTTTCTTATGCCATAGCTTTACAGAATCTGAACTACATGAGGCAACAGAGGCTTCTGCTTCTAGCAATGTCTCTTCTTTCAGCATGTACAAGTTTGCAGCTATCTTTTCACCTTTCAGCACCCACAAGCGCTCCATGGAACACCTTCATGATTCCTTTCCGTGTTTCAATCTTGCTAACATTATTATCCAACGATCTCTAAGGCATGATCATTGCAACTATACACAGATCCTCCTGAGATAGGTTCATAATGATGGAACCATTCTCTTCTTGAGGTCATGTGATATGTCGCTCCCGAATCAATGAGTCATATATCTACAAATCTTTTTCTGCCTTCCACGGTGGTTGACGCTTCATAGCATAGAGCATCTCCATCATCTGAAGTGTTTACGGTATTGCCTTGTGGATTGGAGTTTTTATTTAGACTCCAACAATCCTTCTTCAAGTGACTATTCTTTCCACAGTTGTAGAACTTTAAATTCTTCTTGCTCCTCGACTTCGATCTACCATGTTTGTAACTCCTGCTTTGGCCATGTTCTGTTGATCTCCCTCTCGTCGTTGTCAACACTTCTGCTTGTTGCAGATTTATTTGTCTGTCTTCCTTGTTCTTGCGCCGATTTTCTTTTTGTAGAACAACAGCTGCAACGTCATCGAAGACTAGACTGGTGACATTACTGTTTGTCAAGTTGATGATGAGTTGATCATACGAATCCGGTAGACTTTGAAGTATAAGTTCAACACGTTCTTGTTCTCCTATTTTACAGCTTAAGGATGTAAGCTGAGAAAATAAAGTGTTCAGTGTGTTTAAGTGCTCCGTCACTGAAGTAGATTCTGACATCCGAAGAGTGTACAATTTCCTCTTAAGGAAAATTTTATTGTGCAACGATGTGGCCTCGTACAATTTGGTGAGATGATACCATATCTCCTTAGCTGTCTTCTTCTCCTCGATGCTTGACAATACTTCATCTCCTAATGTTAGATGAAAGTTTGCCATAGCATTCCCGTCTATTTCGATCCATTTATTGTCGTCTGTGAAATCTACCGGCCTTTCACTGATAGCTGCTAGACAACCGTCTTTCCTCAGGATGGCCTTCATCTTCAATTTCCACAATGAGAAATTTCTCCCATTGAATTTTTCAATATCAAATTTCGTTTCCATAGATTCTTTTACGGATAGCTCCCACTATTTCACCATCGTGAATAGTTCTCTGGAACCTTCAAAGAATGGGTAATACCTTCTTACTTTTTTATGTTGGATGATCCACCTTTTGGTGGCAACCACAAAGACAATAAGCAGATATTACACACTCTAATCTGGCTTGGATACTAATTGTTGCGGAAGACGTCTATCGGATAGAGCAAAATCGCAACTGATAATTTGAGAAAATAAAAATAAATATAAAAGAGACACAAAATTTACGTGGAAAACCCCTAAATAATATAGGGTAAAAACCACGGGCAATGGTAGAATAATTTCACTATGAGAAAAATAGGAATTACAACCTCTCTCGATCTACCAAGGAGAAAACAATGATAATTCATTCTTGATAAAAAAGAGAAAACAACTCTTAAGAAACTCTCTAAATTCTCTCTAGTATTGGAAGAAAGCTAGAATGCTTTGGGATGGTTTTGAAGCTAAATGAGCTAGGGTATTTATAGTTGAAGCTTTAAGGACTAATTTATAAATACCCTAAATTACAATGACTAATTGCATAGTTTTACCATCCATATTTTCAACATTTTAGGTGGAATTGTTTTTCAATCCAAACTTTCGATGCCTAACAATTTCTTTTCAACAATTTGCACCAAATAGTTTGGCCATCAATTTGGCCACTTATCTTGACTTTTCAACAATGAGATGTAAGGGGACTTCATTATAAAAAGGAGACCTCCCTACCTCCATTGGAAATAGAGAGTTTTGTGTGAATAAACTCAGGCATTCGTGCCAAAAATTTCCCCACATACGCTTACTTACATTTTTTATGCTTTTCCATCAAGCTTATCATTATAGCAACATTAACCGAGGAGTTTAGGCTAACCTAGACGCCGAACAACCGAACAAAGCATCTAAGAGATGCATGAACCAGCTAGCGAACATTTAACCCGTGTCAATATCATTTAAATCATTGAATGAGTGTAATATACCAACATAATATAATCGTTTCATATAACCCCTTTCTTTTTATTATTTTACTCTTTTCAAGCCCTTATTGCCATAACTAATTATAACATCTCAACAACCAGACACCAACATACATAAACTCATTCATTGTTCTGTTCCTCGACATAAGTCAATTCTTGATAAGAGTGCAAAATAAGAACTCTAGCTCCAAGATCTTCTCTATATTTGGGGAAGGGCATGGGCCAAATCTTAATAAAAGTATAAATTAAGAGCCTCAGCTCCAAGATTATAAATAAATATATATGTTCTATCACCTCCGGAAATAAATGAGTAGATGGGAATAGTCACCCCTAAAAATTTTAAATTATCATATATATTTTTTATATTTTCTTTATATTTTTATAAATAATATATTTTTATCCCCTATAATTTTATTAGTTCGTCATCTCCTAAAATTTTAAAAATTTACCCCACAACATAAAAAACCGGAAGTAACACTAACTAACGACGTTCTTTCATCAATTGTGATTTTTCATCTGAGTCAAAAAAAATTAACCACCTATAATCGTGGTAACTCATTTGTTCCAATCGTCCACATTCAATAACATTAATATATATTTAATGAATTTTATATTATTTATCTTACCTTTAGATCAAGAATCAATAAACAACTAAAACTATAACATTTTCTCCTTTATCTTGCCTTTCTTTTTTCTTCTCGATCTCTGTCTTTCTTGACCAACAACTATCATCTTTAATAATTGATTATATTAATTCAGATAATATTTGTATATATCATGTTAAAGTAATAACTAATGAAAGCTAAAGGAACTGTATACCTCATGGAAGACATGGAGACAACCATAGCTAAAAAGTAGCTTTTTGGCATCCTAGGAAAACAACGGCGATGGACGATGATGATGAATATTCAATTTTAAAAGTTTATAAATCAAAACAATAAGAAAATTAAAACACGAGGATTATTGGTTAAAAATAATATATAAATATTATTAACCATTTAATAATAAACACTCATATTTCTTACATTTATTATGCTTGAACTCATAACTTTAAAGGAAAACAACAAAATTCTTAACCTCTAAGATCAAAAAAATAACAAATTTCTTAACCTCTAATATCATTTAGTTCGTATTTTATCTATAATATTAACTAATAATATTTTTTTGGGGAACTAAATTGAAGGTGAATAGTGTGGAGAAAACGAATTGAGCATTGAGATAAATTGCGATTTGCAATTAAAAGATGATGTATTAATTGCAAATTCATTACACACCATTGGAGGAGACAGTGAAAGGATGGAGGCCCTGATCCTAAGCCTGAGGGGACTTGTCTCCACTGTCTTGATATTTCATGAACGTGTGTGGGTCCATTTCTCTTTACCTACCTTCTTTGTTTACTACAAGATTTCTAGAGCAAACAAGTAACTTATTTGGTACCCTTTCACTATGACAAATTAATAATTACTTTCGAATTGGACTTATGGAAATAAGGTGATGTGGCATACTACAATGTCATTTTAGATCGTAAAATAAATGAGGACACTTATAACTACAAAAGAAGAAGAAAATTAATGAGATTAGAATCCTCAAATCCACTAATTAGTGGAATTAAGTTAAGAGAAAAGGTTGTGATGTGCGGTGAAGGGCATGTCACAATCAAAACATGCCCCAAAGTTAAGTTTTATGTCTTCATGCAATAAAATGTTGAAGCTGTCCCCATACTCAACTGGCTAAAAAGGACAGTGATGTATGGTAAACGACAAGATCAGCATTCAATCAAACTCTGCATGCAATGCTATGTCCTTGTGTACAATAAAAATCATGGACCTCACTGAGAATGAATGAAGAGGTGTGATTTAATGCACGTTTCTATGAACCATAACTAATCAATTTTACTATTTCACTCATTATTTCCATCGTAATTTCCAAGTTAAAATATAGTATATGGAGCAAATGTTATTTTCCATTCATTAGAATATAAAATCAAAAGCAATGAAGCATCATCAAATCCCAATGTTGATTTGACCTTTGCTACTTTGGATTGTCGTGTTTATCTTTAATTTGTTTTATTCGTGGAATCTGACTTTATAATGCACAAACAAATTAGGCTTAGTTGCCTTAAGTAGGTTTTTAACATATGGTTCATCCTTGATGATTCTTATTCTTATTATTATTATTTGAATGGAGATGAGGCCAAAGCTAGGAAATCAAGTGCTCATACGAACATATGGGGGGCCATGAATATCCCGGTGCAGGATATCTAAGAGAGAAGTCGGTGGTGCATCATACACAGTGAGGAGGCGATCGTGAGGTTTCGAAAGTTTGGCTAAGCGATCGGCAGCAAAATTTTCTTCTCTTCGAATTGCAACAAATTCGACATACTAGGAACTTGAGCACAGACCAACAATGTTACGCACCAGAGCAAATGGACTCTCCGAGGACGAGGGGGAGAGGAGATCGAGGACAGTTACGTTGTTGGTTTGCACCAGGACGTGGTGAAATCCCTTCGACCAAGCCAGCTTCAGACCCTCGTAAACACCTCATAATTCTGCATGGATCACCGAGGACTATAACCCAGGAGAAACGTACCCCTGTGATCTCGGAAAACGCCACCAGCAGTGCCGAGATTGGATGACACAAAGACGGCACCGTCGGTGTTGAGGCAACCCAACTATGTCTTGGAGGTTGCCACCGGATTAACTCAGCATTATAAGGCTGAAAATCGGTGAAAGAAACAGCAGCGTCGAGGTAATGTTTAGCCCAGGAGATGCTGAGGTTTAGCAGTGAGGATGACTCAATAGTATCTCCTTGGAAAATATATATGTTACGCCATTTCCAAGCCTGCTAGATAATCGAAACAAAGCAAATATTCCAAGGACAAAAATTATAGAGGAGCATTACAGGAGAGATTTATAGTAAGCCATTCATCAAGAGGAGCAGTAAAAAAAGATCCAGGAAAATGAGATTGCACCATAGAATTCCAAACTCCACGAATGTTGGAGCAATAGCGTAAAATATAAAGGAGTGTCTCGTCAGAATTAGCACAGGCCGGGCACGATAGGTCATGTGTGAAACCTCCGCGACAATGAACATGATTAGTGAGAAGTTTGTCTTTCATAGCAAGCCAAAGAAAGCTACGTAACTGTCGCGGCCGTCTTTCGGTTGGGCTCGGAATTAGGCTTCGACTTGGATTAAACGAATTGGAGTCACCACCTATCATTTTAAAACGATATTTAGGTAGATCGGACACCATCTTACCTGATCTGCGCTTTACCAGAAATATATCGGGTTCGGAGTCGGATACGGTCAAGGAAGGATTATCACCCTTGAACCGTTCTTTCAGTACCAATTAATTTGTCGGTTGTCTTTAATCGCGAAAATTTAAATTTAAATTTAAAACATTCGACTCGAATTACTCACCTTTGATTGGTTGGAATTCCTCTAAAAAAGTCAAAATGTTAGATAATAAATAAATTAAAGAAAAAATAAAAAATAAAATAATGAAAAATATTAAATAAAAAGGAAAACAACAACAATAAAAATTCGGACGAAATGATGTGAAGTTGATGATGCAACCCACTATGCTTAAGACCACGTGTACGGTTCGCATGTGGGGGTACAATGCACATGCCCCATAATTAATTGCACCTCTTTAAAGCACTTTGCCCATAACTTGCCATTTCAAATTCCACGAAACTAAAACAGAACCCCTTCTGGCTTCGAACTTGAATACCACCACTTTTAATAGGTCCAAACTTCTTAAATCCATTCTCCAGCATGCTTGGTGTGGCCTTCAAAGGCAGTGTACACAAGAGCAGAGGCCCCAACAATTTCAGTACCAAGACCATCGCCTTTGGTGTAGCCATGAGCCATCGAGTTAGCTCTACCGCCGAGAAGCTGACCGTCCGATCTACCGGTTTCAAGACAGGTAAAATCTTTTAGAATTTTTTTGCTCTTGAATATGAAATCTTTGCTCTGTGTTTGGTTCCCTCCCTCAGTTTTTCAAAATCGTTGCCCCTTCTCTGATTTTGGATCCACGTTTCCCTCGGTATTTTCTTTGAATAACTCTGTATTTTGTATGATCCCCCTTTGTGTTAGATTTACATGTTTATTTATAATGTTTATGAACCATATTTTTAGACTATTTCGAGCGTTTGATTCTGAGTAAAACTCGGTTTGTTGAGCCTAACATTTGTTATCTGTTGGTGGTTGGGTCTTCACGTTGTCGCAGAGAAATCCGAAGGAGAGGCGTGCGACTGTGGGTCTTTGAACAGAGGAGGTTGCGGTACGCGACTGAAAGCAAAGCAAAGAGCTAAGGTTTCTAAACCCTAGTTGATCGATTCGGGTTAAAGGTCGGTTCGGGGCTCCAAGTGGGTCACGGGTTACTGTTGGGTAGCATGTGTTCCGGGCCACTGTTTAATGGGTTGCTTTTAATTTGGGCCAAATGTTTTAGGCCTGAAATAAAACCAAATGTTATTATTGAATAACATAATATATGTATAATACTATATATTATATACGTACATATATGCACGTTATAATATAATAGTATCATATACGTCACATGAAATATCAGACGAAAATTGGAGTCTACAGCTGCCCCTCTTTGTCTTTTTTCGTGGAACGAAAAATAGGACAAAGACAAAAGGACACAAATTTTTGTTCGATAGAGTCGAAAAATAAACTCTGATATTTCCATTAAAGTAACTCCATGTCGAATTGAGTTTTGGATGACTCATCTGATGCGAAGTCGAGTCCATCCTGAAATGATATGGAATTTAAGCCGTAGTTCGAAATTTAAATTGAATGGCTTCTCGTTGTCAAATTATAGTCCGCTTTGGTCTTCTTCTCGGTTTAAAGACCTTGGTTTAAAATTTCGATTGGAAAATAATTCTTTGACTTCACCATGTGGTTGATAGGCCCTCAAGCTGAATGAAATCGAACTCGAAAGGTCTTCGTTAACAGATAGCTTTTCTCGACTTAAGATGTGCTGTCGGAAAACAGTTTCTTGTCACTAAGGTACGACTAACCAGGTCTTCTTCTCGACTTGAAAACCTCAGCTGCCAATGGAAAGTAGTGTGATAAATGTGTCATCGAGTTGAACGGAATCGAACTCGATAATTTTGTTGACAGATAACCCTTCTTGTAACATCCCAAACTACGGGTTAGTGACTAAATTATAAAATTTTATAATTTGGTGATTAAAGTGGAAAAGTTAAATAGTTCAATGACTTATTTAAAAAATTTTTTGAAGGGTTATTGGTAATTATTGAAAGAGTTAAAAGGAAAATAGGTCATTGAACAAGGAAAATAATTAAATAATAATTAGTGAGTATTATAATACCCATGTGGAGCATGTGTTGAGGAGATAAGTTTCCAGACTTATCTTCTCCATCTTCTTCTCTTCTCTAACGTGAAGCATACAAGTAGAGGTGAGTTTCTTAATTTGTTAATTATTTGTTCAATTAAAGCTTTGGTTTTGATCCTTATATGATAATTAAGCTTAAGGAAAGCTTAATTTGTCTTAAAATCAAAAGATGAAGAAGTTATGAAAGATTAAAGTGAATGGGTTTTTAAATGAATTTCTGGAACAGAGTTGATCAGTTGAATTCGAATCTATATTTGACTTTTCATCAACCTAATTAAGGAATATGGAGTGTTAGAATTGGATTTAAAACATGTGAAAATTTGGTATGATTTTTAGCTTTAAGAATTTGAATGAAGTGTGACAGACAATAAGGTGTGGGAATGATAGAAGTTAGTTAAAATGGTTGTAGTTGAGTTTGGTGATATGAAAGGAGCTTTGTATGAGGAAATTCAGTGAAGAGATGATGATTTTTTCGGGTGAAAAAGCCTGTTTTGAGCAGAGTGTATCGGTACCCTATGTATGTGTACCGATACCCTCTTGAACGAAAAATTCCAGAATAGAATAAGGGTACCAATACCTTAGGGTGGGTATCGATACCCCCTAAAGGAAAAAAATGGAATTATGATTTATTAAATTAGCTTAAGTTATTAACATCAAGTTATATGGTTTAGGCTTCTGATAATCGTCTCAGAAATTATGTTTATGTATATATTGAGCCTAAACGAGTTCTGGAACAAGTGACAAGTAAGATCGAATCAAAGCAATCAAGGCTAAGGTGAGTGCACATTATTTAATATATGATGTTCAATGGAAAATAAGACTTGCGATAAGTCTATCTCCAATAGTAAAATGCATGAATTCATAGAAGTATATGTTTGTTATGATTTATATGTGTGCATGAGTATATGTGTTATTTGATATGAATATGGTAAGTAAAAGGAATTAATGGTGATGATAAGAATAATAATAAGGATAATGAAATGATATGTATATGAGAATATATATATGAGAAGACATAAGAATAAGATATAAGTAATGTAACAAGAAGTGTGAAATGACATGAAAAGTTGATATAAGACATATGAAACGATCTACGTGATTACATGTAATATGTAATATATGTTATATGATATGAGATATATGTTTACACATACATGTGGTATGTGACAGAAGAGAAAGAACATGCACATGATTATAAAAGAAATGATATGAATACAAGAATATTATATAATGATCTATGAGATTGTATAAGAATGATTCAAGTGATTTGAACTGTTATAATGATTATGCCCATGTTATGTGATATGAAAGTTAGTGGTATAGTTGGCATGCCAAGAGTTGAGGGTTACCAATGTCTTTCGGGACATATGGACAATATTACCTATGTCTTTTGGGACATATGGACAGTATTACCTACGTCTTTCGGGACATATAGATAGTATTACCTATGTCTTTCGGGACATATAGACAGTTTACCTATGTTCTTCAGGACATATGAATAGTTTATCTATGTTCTTCGGGACATATGGACAGATTATTATAAGAGCTGTGGTGACAGCATATGTGTGCACAACCTTAGTGTACTCACATACCTTGAGTTCTCAATAATGTACATGGGCTATGCTTTTGGGAATATGAAATGTTTCACAGGAATTATATGATGTTATACGAGTTTTATACA